CACTCATCCTTGGAAGGTTTAGCATGGATTTTAGGAAGTTATTTTGCAGTAAATGTTTGCCACTGGAGGCTGGGCCTGTGCTACGCAGAATGGTCTCCTACGTTTTTTAAACTTTATTGTTTACACTATTACAGATGTTCGGGCTCCCACTACCCCCACGGCCTCCGCCTGCCTCCTGCAGCTCCTCCCCTGACCCTGCCCCCAACATCAATTTTTACATTTACAAGTTTGGGGGTCTCATTTAGATTCAAGGCCTGGAAGCAGATGATGACAGTTCCTCCTTTATAAATGTTTAGTAACTGAATAGATACCACTCCCACCTCCACCAGCCCCCAGTCAATGTCACAAAAACATTCTTGCAGGATAGTGGGATAAATATGTACTAACATGTTCAGAATCTGTAGCATTTTGTTATTCTAGTAAACAGAAACAGTTTATGTATTTTCCAAAGTGTCTCATTGATATAAATGTGCCGTTTACTTCATGATATAGTTAATGAGATATCATTCTTGAGTTTTGAAAGTAGGCATAGTTTGGGTGGGTTTCTATGGTGCTATTTCTCTGTCATTTGCTGATACATTATTCTTGAATAAAGGTGCACTGTACCTAGCTTCAGCCCTCTGTAGACATCACATTTCAAGGTTCCTTTTGAAAAATATCCATGTAGGAAGAAATCGTCCAAAGAAAAAGGTAAATTTAAGTTTAAAACTCATTACTAGATTCAGTAAGCTTTATTTGTTTGAATCCAGAAAAGAAATATACTATACCTCATTAATTTAGTTTGAAACTGCTATCAGAAAAAGGGTTTTTTGACACACAAAATATTTAGAATGTTTATATAAATAACAGACGGACAGTGCACAGCTCAAGGGAGCTGAGACTTCTGCTTCCTGTGCAATTGTTTGCACAGAGGACTCTGAATCAATGATCTGAAATTTCCCTACTTGAATGGAATTGCCCAAAGCCAAAGTTGGTGGAAGAATCCAACCCTGAAGGAAAATGAGTCTTGATCAGAGAAGAGAACTTTCCAAGTCTAAAGGAATGATTTTGGCTAGACAATAAGAATAAACCTTGCAAAAGAATCTCACTGTCTGGCTGTGCAGGTGAAATATGGCAAAGGAAGAGGACCCTCATGAACAGTGGTGTCTATGTGAGTCCCAGCAGGACGAGAAGTACTGTTACTGCCATTTGGGGAAACAGTTTAACTTTATTTAAGAGTCAAAATACCCAAAAATCAGGTCACTGTGGAAAAAATGCAGTCGGTGAAGCATGACACAGGGAAGCAAATGCATGAAGGTTTTCCTGTGTGTGAAAGCAAAGCGCCGGCAGAGCGCAGGGCGTCTGTGAGGCGAGTTCACTCCTCGCCCCGTCCCCTGCCTATCGGTTGTCAGACAGACTCGAATCAAAGCTCGCCATTAATATGAGATAAAGCTCCTTAGGATTTCTTTGCATTCTTTTTTTTTTTTATGTCTCAGCTATGCTCATATATAGCCATACACATTCTGAATTCTGTGTGTATATGACACACTGAATATGCTCTAGGGTTGCTAATGTGTAAGTTCCAGGCATCTTTCCAGAAAAATCCATTAGAAGAAATATTAGCCTAAAGTTTTTTACAGTTTGGAGTAATCAGAAAGATGCCATAAGACAACAGCCTAAGACCTGGGGAATTAAGAAAGTACAACTTGAGTTCTCAATATAACTTCTTTTTCAGTGTCTTTAAATGTAGCAAATGAGCTGGGTTTTCATTCTGAACATATTTCTAGGGAGGAAAAGGTGATTTCAAGTCCCACAACTTCCAAAGAAGCAGCAATAACTTATTAATTGTGCCCTTGCTGATCTTAAAGTGTAGCAGGAAAAACAGCCTTAGAGACGTCTAAAGATGTGTCAAGTTCTCCCAGGGAGTGCAGTCGGGACACAAGGGGAATCTAGCTGTAGAAGTATTTCAAAACGGCTATTTACATGTTGAGAGAAAGAATTTAATTAATAGTGTTACAGTTGTGAAGTCAATATGAAGATCTGAGGTCCTATCACAAGGGACTGTTACTTATTTTTTAAGCAAGTCACTCAGCACCACATTACTCCCTTTTACAGCTCTTGTGTATTAATATAGGTCTCAAAGGATTTCAGGATGGAGCTTGTGATGTCTGTTAATTTTTTCATTATTAATCAAGATGATGATGTTGGTGGCAATTATAAGAACCACCACATACTGAAACCTCACAATGTGCCAAGATCCTCAGTCACTTTTATGCATTATTTAATTCTTCCATCAATCCAGTAAAATTAGTGCTGTGGTTTTCCTTCCATTTTGCTGAAAAGGAAGCTGAGGCTCCGGTAGGTTATGTAAGTAATCTTTGGTTAGCAGCTACCCACAGTCATCCTGACCCCACCGTATATGTACACATCCTCTAAAACATTCATTTTCTTCAAGTTCTGGAAATGAATCAGTACCCTCAAGATCACGACAACCGACACACAAAGCAGAGCTGGCTGGAAGGTAACAACGAAGGGAACATCTGGAGGCTCTGATCAAGGGTCCCCGGGACAGGCCAGGTCTGTGACTGTCTGTGACCACAAGAATGTATCCTTTCCATTAGTAAGAATGGTCTGGAAATGCCTGTCATTGGAACGACACACAAGTGCACAGAGTTGTTGGGGAAATTCATTTGAATCCAGTGTTTGGAGAAAGACTCACTATTTTATAATAAATACTTTGGGCCAAAATCAGGGAACAAGGAGGCTTCTATTATTATGTTCAAGTGGTTAATTCCAAGAAATATCTTTATGGACTAACAGGAAATAGAGAGCCCTAGAAAGTTAGTATAAGAACCAGCACAAATGGACAGGGAATTTCTTATAGAGCCCAACCTGGGCAAGTAGCAGGGTGCTTGGGTTTGTCTGGGGCACTTTTCTGTGCTCTGCTTTCCAGAATAGATTTCCTACAGACTGGAATTCAGGCTACACTGGCTAACCAGGGAAATGTCACCAGCCTTTGATGTGGTAGGTAGAGGGAGACCAACAGAGAACCTTCAAGATGCTCCTTTTGGACTTGTCTAAACTTTTAATGCCTAGCATACTTGACTGACTGCTTAATAGAATTTTAATGGAGAATAAGATGAGCAAGCAACACAATTATATACATGTTTTATAATTTTGTATCCAAGGCATGAGAAGAAAAGCCCTTCACACACACATTGATGATATCAGAAAAACAGTTCGTAAAAGAGACTTGGAGCAGAGGAAGAAAATCAGATTTGTGTGGAGCAAACAAATGCCATTATTATTACTCATTTTTTATAACTTCACAGGCTTGTTTGGAAGCTTACCTGAGTTACCACGTATGATATACTTAAATAATGCTAAAAACCCAACAATTATCATGATTATCACTATTGGCAAAGCTGGTCCCATTCTTATATGTCACAGAGACTTGGGAGGGTTAAGGGATTTGCCCAAGGGCCCAGAGTTAGTCAGTGCTAATGACAAGATTTGAACAAGACTTATGATTTGAAATTCAGCCTCCCTTCAACACACTGAGATGCCAATGCCACAGGATAACACTCCTCTGTCTAATTCACTCTAAATCACTTCATGTGGAAGAAAATAAAAGAGAATTTCCACGCAGTGAAATAAATTACGATTTCAAATGACTCTCCCAATCACAAGATACAAAGTGCTAGGTGTTGAAAAATGCTATGCTTATTATTCCATAATTATATTATTCATAAGATTTGCATTTGAAAATTGCTTTCTAATCTGCATGTTACAGATGATAACTGGGCACTCATTTAAGTATTTTTTTCCTGTCTTAGAAATTAGTGGTGAAAGGCGATTAGTAGCATAAATATTAAACAGAGTTAGGAGTTTGTATGAACTCAGTATTAGAACTGTCATTTCGGGTTCCTGAAACATTTGCCAATATGAGAAAATGATGACAAGTTCTAATTATAAAGTTATTATAATCTAGGACAAAGGGTAACTTTCTCTGGAGTTCCTGGAGAAAATCCATTAGGGATGTCTGCTGGCTGGCTAGGTAAAAATTTCTTCGTTACCACATGGACTTCCTTGGAGCCTAACAGTCCTGAAAACATCTGTGTTGGTTGCAGCAGATTTTCTAAGATCAAAACCACAAATGCTAGTAGAAGACCACTGTGTCACTTAGTACATTCGAGACTCTCATATAACAATGGGATAAGCACAAATACAGTTGATAAGAAAAATCTAGAAAATTAATTACAGCTTTCTTATTCTTTTGTGATTATACTGCTGAGTTTCTTTCATCTCTATAAGTAAACGTTCTGGTTTGTGAGAAAGATGTTTAAGAAACAAACCTAGAAACTTAACCGGAGACACTTTACGTTTGGGTGGGAATTGGAAGACAGTTGGGCACAGCCATAGCGCAGACAGTGAAGTCTGCTGATACTGCTTCCAGACAGGCAGCGATGATGTTCGCGTCGTGATTTTAAGACAACTCCTCTCTCTGATCAGGATTTCAAAGGAGGGACCACCACACTGATGTACTTCGTTGTTAGTAAACATAGGTTCCACTTAAATATCTGCGGTTTTCATTCTTTGTCGAGCACTTTTTTTTAGAATTATTATTGAAGCAAAGGGAGAGTCTTGCTTTTCATATTTGTTACATTAATATCTTAATTTATTTTCTCAGTTCAAAAAAGACAAATACTCAAAACCATCCTTTCACTTCGCATTGGGAACTGTGGATGTCACGCCACTCGGCCTTTCTGCAGTGGCCGTGAGGACACACGGGATTCACTCCAGCTTACAAACTGAACCCTGGCCAGTGGTTTGCAGTTCCATTACATACTGCCCTCCCAGGTCATGACTTCCTGAATGGCATCTAGACTCATTTTTTATTAGTATTCCATTTGTAATGTTACTTAGACTACTTCACTTATGTATATAATAATATGCAGTCATACTAGTTATTTATTAGCGTACTCTTTCTAAAGCGTATTTTAAAAGCATGATAAACTTACCTTAGAGAGCCCACCTACTTCCAAATAAAAGCAGATAATGAACACATTCCAGGTGACCCAGAGGGCAGTCCATACTGTGTACTAGAGAGAGAGCGAGAGGGTGGGGGAAAAAGAAGAAAAATATGGAGATGAAAGGCATGTATACTAAATAAATCAATAACAAAATGTCAGTAAGTCTGTCTTCTGGGAGGAAACAGGGCAATGCTCAGGGAAGAGTGCTCCTTGTGAGGTCCCCTAAGATCGCTAGAAATTAAAAATGCAATAGTTCTACTGCTTTCAGTAAATGCCAATAGAGCTAGATTTATTTTTAAAGTGTTTTGCTCACTTGCAGATACAGGTTACATCCACCACTGACTTGATTTTTGTTTTCCGAGTATTAGCTTTTTTGTTTTCTGAGTATTAGCTTTTCCAGGGAATGCAGCCATGCAAATTTTGGTGGCTATCTCTTTATCTATTTAATTTTTGGTTATAATGTTAAATTGTCAAGTTTCAGAAAATGCTAGGCAAAATCCATTCCTTCCCGATCTCTAAGTGAGAAGAATCATGTTTGAAAATGGATGTGTTGTGTGGAGTAAAATTAACACACTTTCACCTGTTATACTATTTTGTTAAGACTGAAATGTGTACCTCTAATATGCTCTTGCAATGGGATATCATCAAGTAAAATATCTTTTAAAAGCACAGAAATAATAAATAAGAATAAAAATGAGCAAATGAACAACACATTTAATAATAATGGGAAAATCCCTTTCGATCACATCCAACAAACTCTAAATATGCTCGCCTTACTGATTCATTGCTTTTGTTAGTGTAGTATGAACTAAGAAGTGTATTAGTCAGTTTGAATTAATGGAGGAGGTCTAAGGGCTCAATTCATCCAGTTATTTTTGTAAGTACATGGAGAACCTGAGGCTCAGAAAACTGACACATAAGTCAGCTTACATGACTGAGCATGGTACTTACCATGGGAACATCATTAGCAGACCCCAAAAAATGGCTTACTCATTTATTTTTACTTTACCACAAAAATCTACGAATTCTTAATCTTTTAAAGGAGCATACTAATTACATGATTGCTTTTTATTCATGATTACAATCATCACATACTATTGTCAAATTAAAATAAATATAGAAATCATTTCACTAGCTTATTCTATGCTGTGTCAAGGAATATAACTATAAATTTTAAATCCCATACAAAATAGCTATGTTCCCATTAGAAATCTAGCCTTTAGTTATTTATAAAATTTAATTTACATTTTGTGTCTTTCTGTTATTTATAATTTTCAAAAGGCTTTCAAAATAATCACATGTAGTTGTGTAGTTCTATAATTGGGTACATTTGATATCTTTTTTCTTTCTGGAAAACGGGTTTTGATTATTAGTTTTTTAAATAATGCAATTAAAATAATGAGTTAAGGTCTCAAAATCACTAGAAATTCAGAGAAGCTGGAACTATGTTAAAAAGGGAAAACAAGTTAAACAATATATCAAGGCTTTTAGTATTTACAGATATATTGATTCTCTGTTGACATCTTCTGTTACTAGTATCATTTAATATAAGTGACCTTGGACATTTAAAAAATATGCCAAATGCATTGAAACATACACTTTTGAACCACAACATGTGCCCACGACTGTTGAAAATAGCTAAACTACATTCGCAGTGTATACTCTGCAAACTGATCGGGTCACAGTAACCATAACCATGTTAAAACTGTTGCTAATAAGATGGAATCTGGTATCTGATGTTTTTCACTCTAAATCAATCTAATTATGAGCATGTCAGAATGACAGAGATTGCAGACCACTAAGTGATTTTCAAAAAACCACTAATAAAGGTTAAGAAAAGGACATAAACTAAATCAAGACTAAAGGAAGAAATAAGCTGAATTAACTGCAAAGCCATGTAATTTTAATTTTTAGGACTACAAACCTAACCCTTAAGTAAATTTTTTTGGAATGTCGATCAACTCGTAGTTATCACAAATGCATTACAAAGCGAATCTATTTAAAAATCAGAGCACAAGTGTAGTGATTGAAGTGCAGGATCTCTCTCCAGCTGCACTATTGATGCCACTTCTGAACTTTCAGAGATGAAATCCCCAGTCTGAACAGACTCCAACCATCAGCTGCTAAATTGTTAATCACCAGAGTGATTACTACTCTGCTTTCTGTGTTCCTGGTACTGTGCTGAGCACTTACACAGATCAGTTTATTCAGTCATCACACCAAAACCGAGGTAGGGAGGGGGTCGTTTTACAACCTCACGTCACTGTTGGGACGGAAACTCAAACAGTTTGACGCCAGAACTGGGGTGCTTATGGGTTATGTGATAATTTCACTTTTAAAAAATCTTAAGAAAAGGACTGTAGATTAGTTGGAGAGTTAACAAACCACCTAATGTTGCAATTTATCAAATAATCAATTCACTGAGCTATCAGTTTACCAGAAATTTATTTCATTTGTATGTATTCTGTAACTGACAATGTTTTTGGAATGATGGCTTCTTTTGCATTTTGTGATTAATATGTTTGTATGATATGAACATCATTTTTTAGAGAAACAATGTAAGTTTCTTTCTCCTCATACAAAGATAATTTGTATGATTAACCTCTGGATTGTAATAAGGTAAGAACTGTGTACCTCAGTGCACACATAAGACGCGAGTCTTTACATGGAAACAGAGGGAAAGAAATCTCTAGCAATACAAATACGTCCATAAATAGTTTCACTTAGGCAAGAACTCTTAGGACAGCATATGTATTTTTTTTTAAAAAATAATTTTTATGTTTTTATCAAGGACATTCTTTTTTAAAAAAGAATTTACTTCTTTATTTTTAGAGAGAGGAAGGGAGGGAGCAAGAGAGAAAGAGAAACACCAATGTGTGGTTGCCTCTTATGTGCCCCCTACTGGGAACCTGGCCCACAACCCAGGCATGTGCCCTGACTGGGAATCAAACCGGTGACCCTGGTTTTTGCAGGCTGGTGCTCAATCCACTGAGCCACAGCAGCCAGGGCTATGTATTCTTTTTTGATGTGGGTTATGTTATTTACAATTCAATTGAAAGAAGAAGAATAAAGAGATAAAAACATTTTAAATGCTCTTTGATTATCATGGAGCACACCTTCATGTTCACATATCTAGGTAAATATATTTACAGTATAGAAAACTTAACTTCCCAACAGAAAAGATAAAACAAAAACAAAGCCACTCTATACTTATCTATCACCTATCATCTATCTACCTATTTATCCTACTTTAAGTGAAGCACACATATTTTAAATCCTAATTCACATAGGCAAAGACTAAACATTTTTTTAAAAGTTCATGTGATCTACGTGGTTGTGGAACTACTTTCCAGTTTTATGAAGATATTTCAGCCTTTTTTAATTGAAATGAACTTCAGAAGCCTTGCAGTCTGTTTCTCTGCCACTGAGCAATTAGTCTGTAACACGATTTGTTTTTACTTCCTAACCTTGTTTGCCTTCCAATGGCTGGAAAGCCCACTCATTCATTCATTCATATGTGTGTCAATCAGATGAAATGTTCTGTACAATAGGTTAGAAACAAAGAAGGCATTACACAGCTCAATTATTTATTAAGCACTATCTCTGTTAGGTTATACTAAGCCAGTCACGAACTTTATATAATTCTTAAAAACAACTATGAATCAGGTTTTTACAAATTAACTATGGTACAAAGAAAGCAAATAAATGTGCTAAGTGTTCGCAGCAATAACTGCTGGGGGAGGATTTAAATCTGGCACCGACAAAATGGAAAGCTAATACCCATAACTATCATATTGGGCAGTGGCCCAGGAAGGAGATGTATAATGACAAATGACATAGCAGGGAAATTTTCCTATAGAACAATTTAAATTTAAAGCAAGTGGCTGTCCTTTGTACATGAGCATTGGCATAAACGTTCAAGTGACTAAACTGTGGGCCTGGAAAATTTACGTGGCTTTTTTTTTATTTTAAAGGCAATTTTGAGTTAATTTTCACTTTAATATTAATCTTTATTTAAAATATGTTACATTAGCTAATGTTTCTCACCTTTAAATTAATTGAAAACTGCTTGATTAAATTAATTTATTGCCCAGGAAATAATAATGATTTAAATAATTCTAGGGCACAGCGCCATTTTGGAATTCATAAGTAAGATTGTTGAACATCTGACATAGGAGTAAATAGGAGTGAACGGCTGATTATAGAACAGTAATTTATGACTGCTAAATAGGATTTCACAGCCCACACTCTGCTCCATTTTGCCTCTAGCTAAAGAAACACAAAAGGTGCGTTCAGGTGCTTCAACTACACTTGTTATCCCAAATGTATGTATGCCACCTTGCACCATAGCTTCAAATACATTTTAATCAGTAAAAGAGTACTATATGACAAAGTTGTTTTGTATTCTAAAAATACACAGAAAAATAGCAAATTATACCTTTTTAGTAGTGACAGTATCCAAGGGGGAATTATTACTCTCTCATTTGGTGATTTGGGCAAGTTTTTGCGATAGCCTGTGCTGTGAGACCTCCTTAATTACAGTGGCAGGAGCCCGAGATATTATAATGCTTAGGAAAAAATAAGTTGATTGACGTAGGTGTCGGCAGAGTAGCGCACACTCTTTTTTCATGTGACTCCTCAAGTCAGATTGAGATGAGCAAGGCAGTAAGGCCAAGTTTTCTTGTTGAACTCAGACATGTTCTTGAATTAGAAATTGCTTCCTGTTCATCCTGTAAAATCACTTCATCCAGTAACATATCTAATTCACTTACTATTTGTTCAATCAAGTATTAAGCACACTGGGATAGACCTGGAACACAGCAATGGATACTCCTGGTCTGCCTGGCAGGAGAACCCTGTTGGAGCGGTGAGGTGGGCCGCAGGCAAGGACGGTGACTGAGTAGAAGAGGGGTGTCAAACTCATTTTCACTGGGGGCCTCATCGGCCTTGCAGGTTGCCTTCAAAGGGCCAAATATAATTTTAGGACTGTATAAATGTAACTACTCCTTAACTAGGGGCTGGGAGCTCGGTGCTGCTGCCAGGTAGAAACAAGGTACCGGGCCAGATAAAACAAGGTGGAGGGCCGGATTTGGCCCTGGGGCCTTGTGTTTGGCACTTGTGGTGTAGAGAGCTAGGAGAGAAAGAGTCTGCAAAATCTAAGACAGCAGAGAAGAAGTGGCACTTATCCCAGACAGGGGTGATCAGGTAAGGCTTTTAAGGGGTGACCATTCAGTTGAAAAATGATTCCCCACTTCCCAAGTAGGTAAGGAGCATAAGGTGTCCCGGATGTGTGCAGAGGAGGCAAACAACAGCATGTGGTCTGAGGAAAGCCCACTTCATCCCAAGTGGCGAGAGGAGGTAGTATGTGGAAAGACGCGTGCATATGAAGGAGAAAAGGTTGCTAGAACTGGGCATGAACACCAGGCACAGCTATACACATGAGGCTGGAGAGCAGGTAGAAATGGGGGGGCCCAGGACACTGAGGGCACAAACTTGCCGTCCTTTTATGTTGCTGAGGCTGGCGCATCTTCTCCCCAGGCCTCTGCCTCAACACTGTTTTCATTCTCCAGAGACCCCGCACCCTGTGCCTCCGCACACCTTGCTTAATGAGCTCCTGGAGAGCGGGGTGCCTGGAATTTACATTCTTTTCTATTTGTTCAACCCTATCACAGTGCAGTTGGTTCTCAATAAATGCTTAGTGAGTGAATGGGAACTAGTGCTCCAGACATCCTACTATGTGCCTTACAGTGCTTCCTGCCTAAACCCCTCCAGTCCCTTCTTTCCTGGTGAACTTAAACTCACACTGTAGCTCTCTGCTCTGCATTCACTGCTGCTGGATCAGATGGATGTCCACGTTACACACCTCATGGCACGTGTGCTCCTTGTCACGGTTACAGTTTAACCATTTTGTGGATGATTCAGGGGGACAGAATAGCAATGTTTGTGTTTGCTCACCAATGTGCCCTGCACCTAAAACAATGCCAAACACACAGCAGAAACTCAATATACAAGGTTTAAGTGAATACATAAATACAGAGGAAGGAGGGAAGTCAATAAAGAAAAAGGGAAGAAGGGTGAGTGGAAGGGGAGAAGAAAGGAATGAAAGAAGGAAAAACTGATTGTGAGACCTGAGTTTGGTCAGTTTGGTCAACAGAGATTATTCTTGTATTTTATCCTGCTGAGAGTTCATTATGGCCTTTAAGCCAGTGGTTCAGGAAAAGAGCAAAGGACCCACTGGAAGGGACAATGGCTGACTGCAAGCAAGAAGTCCATGTACAGGAGAGAGAATGCAGATGCCTCAGCATAGATAGTTATGTGGAGAGCATGAAGAACTGAGGTTTAGAGGGTAGGGGCCACAGGACTAGTTAATATTACTAATGTATGCCAACAATTTCATCCCACAGAGGCCACTGGCTTCACAGCCCTCTGGCACTTTGTGCTTCAGCAGAACACCAACATCGTAAAATAAAAAAGTTCATACTAAATAAGAGTGCTCTGTGTTCATTGCAATGAACTAGAACATAAAATCCAACAACATTTGATATTATGTATATAAAGCATCTTGTACTGCAAGTCCAATTCCATGAGACACCTTTGTAGTATATTATGCCACAGCTTAGCAGAGGCTCAGAGGAGAAATGGAGAGCAAGACTGCAGACCTGCAGAGTGATGTCAGTCACTGTTGCACCCTTGGGCAGCCATTATGAGTATGAAGTCTGTGCTGGGGGCACTGACCTTCACTCTGGGACATGATGAAAGGTATCAAAGGGCCAATTTTGAGATTCAAATTAGAGAATTAATGCATTTGTGGAAAATTTTCTAATTTTATTCTTTTCTATAGATGTGAGTGGATTAAATCAAAATGGAAAGATGGCATACTTTAAAGTCTAGGTTTTCTTCCAATGAGGCAATATTACAAGAAAATATTGCATAATTCTACTGAATACTGTATATTAATTCTGGCTTAGTGAGCATTTTAGAGCATGCCATTTCTATTTACAATGATTTATCTATGCTTGTTATTTCTTACAACCTTCTTGTACATGCAGCCTAAATATTACGTTCTTTTCATAGGAAACTAATTACTGTGGAGAACTTCCACTTCACTGTGGCTCACCACATACACCTTGTCCAGTTGTCCTCCAAAGGAGGGGCGTGCTGACCCTGTTTGATGTAGTTTGCAGCATGGATTCACACTGCAAATTTCTTTTAACAAAATGGGAAGTGTTCAATAACACACTACATAAAATACAGTAGAGGCAAGTACTGAATAACCTTTAATACATGCATTGGTAGTGTCCTAAATCAATGACAATTATATTACATTATTGTTTTCAGTTAACAAACAGTTATGGCTAGGTAGGTTAGCTTTGCAGGGTGTTACATGTCAATTTAAACGACAGCTAATGTATATTTACATCTCGTCGTAACATCAAGACCTTAACAGGTTTCTTATTCTATCTACCCAAACTCCACTTGAAATTTAAACATGGTTCCTGTGAGACTTGAACTTAGCACTGTGAGTCTCACATTTACAGACATGTCACTTTGCTGTCTTTGTAAACATTCACTGTCACCCTGTCCACAGGTAATCGATGCCTAACAGAATTCAGTCTGTGATGGCTACAACGGCAATGCTGTGTCATCGCCGAGGGAGCTACTTCGATCATTCACCTCCTTACAGCAATTCTGTAGTGTTTATATGAACAGACATGGTAAAAATGAGACTTACCACCACGATGTATCGGGGTCTGTACTGAATTGTCCCAAACAAACCCAGTATGACCACTATTATATGTAGAAAATTTCCAAGAATAGGTGCCCACTGGAAACCAAGGAAGTCAAAGATCTGCCTCTCCAATGCCGAAAGCTGAAAAACAAAGCAAGGAGAGCCCATGAGCACCTCACCCAAGCATAATCATTCCATTGTCATCTTTGTTCCAGTTAGAGAAGTCTGCATGTTCTTCTTCACAGTAATGGACAGCATTAGCGCTAGAGTTGTGGTACCTGTTTCATATAGCTTTTCTCAGAAAACTTCCTAAGATAACTTTGAGCATTATGACTTCAAGTATCAATAGGTTTTAAACCTACCTGGAGAGCTATACTCCTTAAATCATTTTCTATACTAGAAAAATCTAGACAGATATTTTATGACACTATATTTTATGATAGTAATTCATCATTATTTTTAGTAAAATGGTTGGCTTAGTATAACATATTTGGAACAGTAACTCCAGACTGGCAATGCTAGAATGAGTATTGTTTAAAAAAAAACAACCCTCCTACCACCCCTGCCTTCCTCTTGAAACATAAATGGTCAAATCTTCTGTTTTGCTTATTTTCCTCTCATTGGGCTGTCACTGATGATAATGATATGACCAACTACTTTTTCAAAATGAAGCTTATTTTATTGAGTTCCTCTGAGCTCAATGACCTCATGAAAAACTAAAGAATCCCTTTGAATCACATTTTTTGAGATTGTTTACCTTCATGAAAATCCATCTTAAGTTAGGCAGAGTCATCCTTTTTGAATATCCAGATAAATAGTATAGAACCATAGCAATTTCGGATATGCCATAGTTTATTGTATTTGCATGATACAAACTACATTTTTAAATAGTTCCAAAATATATTTAAAATACACCCAGAAAGCATTTATGATGGAAGAGATGAATTTTTGTATAGTCCAGTGAACACCAACAATGCTATTATCGTGTACACATAATATTTATTACATTCTATATCTAAAAAATTTATGATTCCACCTGCTGTATTTGGACACTATTCTCACACATTTCAAGCATTTTTCTAGATTTACTTTGATATAATAGTAATTCTAATAAAATGATCCAACCATTAGCCATACTTACGGCCCTAGAAACTGCAGATTTGAAATGAAAATGGTACCCTAGGTGTTTTTCTAGTTATATGGCAGGTATATGCCTGAATAGCTTTAATTTCTTTGGACATAAAGACACGTCCACCATCCAGTAAGCAAATCTACCTTGGTTAAGATTCACCTTCAGTAAGCTGTGGACGAGAAAAGAGCAAATGCTACAGACAACCAACCGGAACCACATTCATTTCATGGGTATTTCCTGATTGTCAAGTGATTTGTCACCACCCCGCACTCACAGGTGGGATGGGAGATGCACAGGAATGGCTAAAAAGAAATAATCAGAGCATGATAAGGAGCAGCACCCACTGCGGTTTCAATTCTGTTTGTCTCTACTTGTGACTCCAATTTGGTCCCAGGAAGCTTTCCCTAGAACGCAGCAGCAACTGCAGGCAATTTATTTTGAGAAGCAACCTATTTTAAAGTTGTTGCACATCACAAAAACCTGTAAAGTGAACTTTTCAAACAAAGAAAAAATCATTTTTTTCTGTCAGAAAAATTACGGATAGCATTCTCTTTTATGATGTTAAAGAAAGCATGCCTAATGAATATAAGCCACATTAACAGCAATTATCAGAAAATCCACATTCCTTATTGAAAGACCTATATCTCTCTATTTATTAATGTTTATTTTGATAACTTAAAAATGGACCTATGGTGCCTTGAAATGAGGGCACAAACACAAGGCCATTAAGAAAATCAAATGGGGGATCATGCCAACCAGAACCACACCAGACCAGGTGAGAGGCAGCTACAATGACTGTACCCATGAACACAAGTTTGAGTATTGTATTGCATTTTTATTTTTAAACCTTCACCTAAGGGTATGTTTATTGATTTTAGAAAAGGAGGAAGGAGGAGGGAGAGACAGACAGACAGAGAGACAGAGAGACAGAGAGAGACCAATGTAATAGAGAAACACAGATGGGTTGTGTCCAGTATGTACCTTGACAGTGGTTGAACCCACAACCGAGGTACATGCCCTGACTGAGGATCGAACCCACACTTTTTGGTGCATGGGACAACACTGCAACCAATGGAGCCACCCAGCCAGGGCTGAGTATTATATTTAAAAAAGTCCACCAATGACATCAAAAAGTCTTTCAAAAATAAAATGTCACTGCAATTTTTACTTAATTTTTAATCTAAATGTTATGTTAAGCTCTTTAGACATTTAGTTTATATGCAAATATCTTCTATGTGTCATCCTCTAGAGACCTCACTTCTCACCTCAGAGCCTGACATTAACGATAATGGCCCAGAGCCACTAAATGAAATTAAATGATATTCTGGTTGCTTTGTTAACTCAGGAGAAGTATGAATATATTTCAGAACTCTCTCTGTCAAAATGGGTCTCACCAACGGTGCGCTGACACTGCTGGCACAGGGCTGGGGATGGGGGTCAGAAGTGTCTCTTCCTAACTCCAAGGTCAGTGACCTTAAGCTGGGAACTTGACATTGGCAATTATGGGAATATCTACAACGTGAACATCGGGAAAGGCTAAAAATGAGGGTTTTTGTGTGTGTGTGTGTGTGTTGGGAGAGCTTATTGCTGTACATTTACCCGCGCACGACTGAATATGCTACCTGGGAAACAGTGGTTCTGAGGAAGGACAGCAGTGAGGGGAAGTGGCCACACTGGACTGGAGCCTAAAAGGAAAGCAAGCCGTCCGGGCCAGAGAGGAAGGCGAGGGGGCCCAAAGCAGGAAGCCATACAGAGGCCGTAGCAAAGAAAAGAATAGATGAGGCATTTGAAGAACTTGAAGTTTAAATAAAAGTAGAGAATTCAAGAAATTATAAAGCTAAGGAGACATCCCAGAGAAAGCAAAACCAACCAGTCACCAGTTTCAAACAGGAAGCAGTGATGTAAAGAACAATAAAATCATTTCTTTTTTTTTAATCCTCACCCAAGGATATGTTTCTCGGGGAGAGAGAGGGAGGGAAGAAGGGAATGAAAGAGACAGAGAGAAAGAGAGAGGGAGAGAAGCATCACCACGACCTAGGTATGTGACCTGAATGGAGACCAAACCCAGTTTTACACACTCGTTATGATGTAAATGTTGCTTATGGATTGTAATTTTCACAATCAAACTGTAGAAAGCTTGGCAGTCTTCATTACAGTTATGGAACAAAATATAAAGTATCATTTGACCATGTAAAGTACAATGTCTGTAACACAGGTTGGAAGAGGCTGCATGTTTTGTGCCTAAATTCTGTTGCTATACGGCAAGGGGGAAGGAGTGAGTTTTAACAATTCTTACTTGGGGGTCAAGCATGTCCTTTTATCAGGCTCCAAGGTGAAACATTCCTCTAAATCTATGAATCTTAACCATACCTCACATTAACCACACATACTTCCAAAAGCTCAAGAAGTATCCCTGCTTCCTTATTTTAGGCCCAAAGAATATAGACACAAACAAATAGAAACACCTTCAAAACAGTAGTTTTCTTACTGATCCATATATTATGCTTAATGCTTCCCATGGTTTTTTGCACACTTGCTTGTACTTACTGATATTTGTGGCAATAATTTGCATGTAGTTAAAGAGCTGTGAAAACTCCAGTCGACCAAACATTTTCCTGAGCACTTACCTAGACTGTGTCTGTAATAAGCTTCTGCGCTCCCCTCCCCCCTCAAAAGCTAGGCAAGTGCTCATTCATTCTTAAGGAGTGAGTGAGTGCCTTTGGAGATTCAACTTCACAGGAAGATGAGCTGCCTTTCATTCTGACTCTTGGACTCTCCCCCTGCTCACTAGAGTCAGAGGCAATAGGAAAGATTGAAACGGGGTTACTCGTGTTGGCACAATCATAAGAAAGCACTTGATCAAATGATAGTTTCTGAAAAGACTGGAAAATTAAAGCACATGGTGTGACCGACACCGTCATCTGTAGAACCAGCAGTCTGGGATTTCGTGAGGTTAAGTATTTTATAACCATGAAGATTCAAATCTTTTCTGAAAGTGGGAATTTAAAAGCTCTAATTAATATTACTCTTAGCCAAGTTGATACATCCTGGGCCATGTCGAGCAGGTTTTGGGTTACTAAGTGGGTTTCTTTATGTCTGGAAAGGCCACGTGGCCTTTAGCTCCACCACCATTAGCCATGGTTCCTTTGCCCTAAAATCTCATAGCTCTCGGTTCCCCACAGACATTCCATGCTTAAGGCTGGTGATGCCCGACTTCTGTGTTCATGGATCTGGCCTTGGCCAAACTATGATCTTATGTGTTAAGCTGCAATTTTTGAATATTTTTTATGGCTCTGATAAAAAAGGGACATTGGCATTTGTATCATTATCCTACTTCACAGAGAGGCAAGATTGAGTCCTAATAACCTGGAAATTTGCCACTCTCTTTTTTTAAAAAAATTATTTATTTTATTTTTAGACAGAGGGGAAGGAAGGGAGAAAGAGGAGAGAAACATCTGTGTGAGTTTGCCTCTCATGTGCCCCCTACTGGAGACCTGGCTTGCAACCCAGACTTGTGCTCTGACTGGGAATGAAACCAGCAACACCCCATGGTTTGCAGGTCAGCACTCAATCCACTGAGGCACACCAGCCAGGTGCTGGTTTACCAGTCTCTTAAAGCAGGTGCTATTTTAGAGCAGTTACTACGTGTCCATAGACAGGTGACCAGACATCAGGATTTACACAGACTTTGACAGATCCAGGAACTCCAGACCGTGGTTTGATCATCATTTGAATTATCCAACAATGACAGTAATAGAGTTTCTGCAAACCATGGTCTCTGAATGGTTTTGTATTATTTTGGGTAGGGGTTAGATAGCAAAGGCTATTCTGGTGAAATCAGAAACTGATCATTTAGTGAGACACATTAAGTCAAATCAACTTTCATACACCTCCTTTTTCCGTTGCTTGGTTTTTAGTACCACGTCCAGAGGCCTGAACGGCCGCCAGTGTGTAAGCAGCTAAGTGAGGTGGAGCCCTGAGTGCTGAGACGGGAAATATTTTCCTCAAT